ACACAGGGAGGGATGAGGGATTGGGGGGAATGGAGCACTTGCAAGGAGAAAGTTATATCAGCTTACAAGGAAGAAAAAATGTTCTAGAATCAGAAGGCTAGAACCAGATGGTTAAGGGAGGGTGATAACAATACCAGGTATTTCCAAGCCTGTGTAAAACAGAGGAGAAGCAGGAACTGTCTGGAAAATTTGGTCAAGAGGAATGGAGAGAAATGTCAAAATCAAGATGAAGCTATGTTAGAGGCGTCCTCCTTTTACAAAGAGCTCTTCCAGTCTCAGAATTATACATGTGAAGAAGATATCCTGTCAGGCATAGCTGTTTCTATAGACCATGAGATGAATCAGAGGTTGATTAAGACTGTGGATGAACAGGAAATCAAAGTTGCCCTGTGGGACATGGATCCTGGGAAAGCACCAGGTATTGATGGTTTCAGTCCCTATTTTTTCAGTATTCTTGGTCCATTATTAAATCTGATTTATGTTCTGCTGTTTTGAATATCTATTCCTATGGTAAATTCCCCAAAGCAACCAATCACACTGTCATAACCTTGATCCCCAAAGTCAAGCATCCTCAACTTGTTTCTGATTTCAGGCCCATCAGCCTTTGTACTGTCATTTACAGACTTATATCCAAAATCTTAGCTAATAGAATCAAAAGAGTTCTTCATGTTTGCATCTCCCAGAGTCAAGCTGCTTTTGTGCCTGACAAGCAGATCTTAGATAATGTTATTATAGCTAATGAGTGCCTGCATTTTCTTAATGGTAAAAAAAGAGGTCAAAAAAGATTTATGGCAATCAATTTAGACATGGCCAAGGCCTTTGATAGGGTTGAATGGTCTTTTGTTCTTAAAGTCTGCTTGCATATGGGTTACAACCCTATTTTTGTTAATTGGATAAAGGCTTGTATCAGCTCTTCATCTCTGTGCTTTAAATTTAATGGCCAAGCCTTAGGGCACATTATTCCCTCTAGAGGCCTTAGACAGAGAGACCCTCTGTCCCCTTATCTTTTTATTATTTTGACTGAGGCCCTCTCAAACCTGATTAAGATTGCATGTTCTTCCTTTTCTTTCAAAGGCATTAGGATTAACAAATTTTCCCCCAGTGTCTCTCATTTCTTCTTTGCAGATGATTCACTGATCTTTTGCCAAGCTGACTCCTATCATGCCAACCTCTTAATGAAGATTTTGAATTCTTACTGCTCAGTGTCAGGGCAAGCTGTGAATATGCATATGGGTATAGGGAGAAATAAGAGGGATACTTTTGCATTTGTTAAAGACTGTGTCAAATCTAGGGTGAGTAATTGGAAAAATACTTTCTTGAGTGAGGCTGGGAGGGAGACATTGATTAAAACTGTCCTGAGTGCTTTCCCTTTATATAAAATGTCTATCTTTAGAATCCCAATTGGTGTCTGTAATGATATCTGTAAAGAGGTAGCTGGCTTTTGGTGGGGAAAACATGAGGGAGGGGGGACTATAATTCACTGGGCCCACTGGAGCAAGCTGGCCAAATCCAAGCTGGAAAGGGGCATGGGCTTCAAAGAATTGAGTGATATGAATGAAGCTCTGATCCTTAAGCAAGTGTGGAGGTTGCTCACCAAACCAAATTTGCTTGTGAGTAAAGTATTGAGAGGGAAGTATTGCCACAAGCAGAGTTTCCTTGAGGTTAGCAAGAAGAGCTCAGATTCTTGGTTATGGAAATGCTGGCTTGATTCTAGGAAATCTCTTGTTCTTGGTCTTAGATACCAGGTGGGCAATGGCAGTCTATCAAGATATGGGATACTCCACGGCTCCCACATTCTCCTAATTTTAAACCCTCTTGCTGTTTTGCTGATGATATGACAAGGCTGCATACAGTTTCTGATCTTATGCTTGCAGATGGAAAGAGCTGGAATTCTGAACTTGTCTTGCAATCATTCAACCCCTGGGAGGCTGAAAATATTCTGAAGATTTATATTAGCCACAGGGGGAGACCTGATAAGCTCATTTGGCATCCTGATAAAAAAGGGGTTTTACTGTCAAATTAGCATATAACTCTATTCACCACCACAGGAGGCTGATTTATCAGGAGGCAGGCTCGAGCTCTGGAACCAAAGGAGCACATCATGCATGGCAAATCCTTTGGAAGCTGCAAATTAAGCCCAAAGTGAAGCATTTCATCTGGAGATGCATTCACAATTTGGTGGGAACAAAGATCAGGCTGATGTAGAAAGGAATTAGATGACACAATTTGTAGTTGGTGTGGCTCAGAGCAGGAAGATTTGATGCATGTTATTTTTTACTGTGTTAGAGCTAAGAATACATGGAAAATTGCAAGGCTCAGCTGGAATATTCTTGACTGCCAAGGTGTAACCTTCACAGAATGGTGGCATAACATAAGCACATTACCAAGAGGTGCTTTGAACAGAGACATAATTTCACTTTCCACTTATCTCCTTTAGTGGTTGTGGAAAACTCGCAACTCTTGGATTTTTCAACACGAGTTAATTTCTGAGGTGAAGCTGGTGGATAAAGCCAAGAGTGAATGGGTTGAATTTGAACATGTTCGGTTTGGCAGAGGCTTAAGCAAGAATCATACTGTTATGACATCTCAACTCACTGGGAATGATAATGGCAAAGAAATAGGGGAGTCTAGCAAGGCTACCAGTGTTTCAATCTCTAGTACAGTGACCTGGTTGGTGTAGTGTGTAGCTTTTGTTGGAGGTGTCAAAGTGGACAGCAGGTCAATCTCTAGGGTTCCCCAGCCAGTGGAGGTTTCCTGATATGCATGAGAACATGGCCTGAAGATGGCAAAGAAAGAGGCTGGGACAGAGCGGAGATAGCTATTGCTGACAGGCAGGCCCGACCCTGGCCCAGGGCGACCTGGGCAACGGCCCAGGGCCCAACTGAAGAAAGGGGCACCCAACTATATGACATATGTATGTAAGACAGGCCCAATAAAAGTTTTTTTTTTTTAAGAAAAAAATTATTTAATGGACCATTAAAATATAAGAAAAGGCCCCACTACAATTAAAGCAAAAGTACACAGTACACACACAATTTATTTGCGCCGTTTTCATTTTGATGAGCTTCCAAACTTATTGGCACTTACATTTAATAAATTCTAACTAACTACAATTTCGTGAAATCATATTTAATAAAATCTAATTAATTAACTACAAGTTATATAGAAAGTGAAATCAAATCAAAACAATACTCTTTTTTCCCTCTCATACTTCCATAAATTGTGCCAATTACTCATAGTAATTAAGGCATTATTTTTGTTTTTTCTTTTTTTCTTAAAAAATCAAACTGTAATGCCAACTTGATAGAAAACCATTCAAATAATATTCTACATGAATCAATAAATAAATTACATGCTATTAAAAATATAGATCTTTTTTTTTTTCTTATTTTGTATTAAACAAAAATTATCTAAAAGAACAATATACTATGGTATGAGAATTTGTTAAGTTCATACACATAATTTTAAAGTATTTTTTATTTAATTATAATTGTATAAGAAATTATTGAGCCTATGCACATGCATATATTTTTAACTTATTTTTTCTATTTGATTGTTGTTTTATGGTATTTTGAGATCCTTGTACGTATATATTTGGTTTATTTTGATTTATTGTTATCTAATATTTTTCTACCATTGTTGGGCCCATAATCATATACACATATATATTCTGTATTTTTTATTTAATTGTTGTTTATCATTTTTTAGAGCTAATTCTCGCACATATTACCTTTAGTTTTAGTTTTTTTTTTTTTTTAAAAAAAAGCCTCCAAGATAAATTCAGCCGACAATTGATTGTTTTCCTTTCAGAGTTTATACATTTTATTTCAAATATAAATTCCCTCATTTTACAAGAAATTTTTTTTTGGATAATTATATAGATTTCATTATTTTGCTTTAGAATTAAGGAGATATAATGGGGCATTATTCTATATTTGGCCCAGGGCACTGGCGGATTTACATAGGGGCCCGTAGGGGCACGGGCCCCTGTAATTTTTTTTGTAATATGTATGTATATATATATATATATATTATATATATAAATGTATTAATTAACATAAAAATACATATTAATTATTAATAAAAGTTATTTCAATATAAAAAAAATAAAAAACATATGTTTAGAATTATTCCTTCAATGTTTTGTTATTTTTTAACTTGTAGAATTTACGTGTATACTATATTCAACTTGTTTTTTATTTCATTTTTCTTCCTAAAATACATATAAAAACAAATATTGTACATAAATGTATATACCACATAGGGATTGGATCAAATGTGTCACTATTCTTAAAATGAGAATGTAAGACCCAACCTTATCTATTAAATAAAAAACAAGGTGTCTATCAAGATTTATCTTTTTATTTTTTAATTGGTTAAATAATGATTTGACCGTTGACCTACGACGTTGACTGTTTACCGCAGTTTGTGCCCCCGTTGTCCTTGAAGTCTGCGTCCGCCCCTGGCCCAGGGCCTAATACTAGCCAGGGCCGGCTCTACTGACAGGGAGCTGATGAGTATCTTCAAACCAGGAGCCATCTGCAACTGGGATGTTTATGTTCTAGTTGATGATATTCAGTATCTGCTAGCTTCTTTTGGAGACTGTTCTCTTGTTTTTATGGAGTAGTTGTTTATTTCTTCTTTGTTTAGATGTGGTCTCAGTTGTTTTGTGTTTTGGTTGAACTATTGTGGCCATATTTGGTTCCTTAGGTTGGCACATGTTGTGCCCTCCCCATTGCTTTCATAGTCGAGTCTTGGCATGATTATGAGTTCATTGTATCCATTTGGTTACTCGTAATGTACATTCGGGTTTTATATTAATCTTTTTGATGTTTGAGAAAAAAAAAGGCCTAGTAAACCGGGCCGGTTATGTACTATAGCTATAGGGGAATGGATCAGTAAGGACCCGTCTCACTCTGTGAAACGGATATTTGTATTGGAGCTTTTGGAAAATCAATCAAATTAATTCAGTAAAACCAGAGAGACGAGTCTGCTTCTCCATGGCTTCTCCCGCCGTTCCATTCAGCTCCTTCACCTCCACATCCCTATTGAAACCGACTCCCTTACTTTTACTAACACGATCTTATCCTCGCTTTCACTTCAAACATTTCCCTAGTAATCGGGCTGAATTCCGACCCCTCTATGTCCCTCATGTTGCCACCGCCGACGGTTTTCCGATGGATGAATTCTTTGCCGATGGCAGCGTAGATACAAAGGGAGCAGGAGAAGAAAAGTGGAGTGCTGCTGAATACGAGGCCTTGCTCAAAGGTGGTGAACAGGTCACTTCTGTTCTACAAGAAATGGTGAAGCTCGTAAGTGTTTTGACCTTTTACCTTCTCGTATTCTTTTGTTCTTCCTTTCATATCAACGTCTTATAGTATTCGGCTCTGTACTGTGTTGGGATTCGTTAATCTTCTCCCTGTTTGTTGTAATTATCTCTTTCTTCTGTCAATTTTGAGTTTATGGTTCATGTATTAGCGAGTTGCTTGGCTGGCGATGCCAATAATGTTAGGCTAAGTAAGTTCTTACTGTTTAACTATCTCCTTCTAATGATTTCTAGTAGAAACTGGGAACTGGAGTCTTATCGTAATTGTTTGTAATGTTCTGGACTTTTCGAAACTTGAACTTGGAAAATAACTTGGGATTTTGAAGGTATCTTGTGGAAAGAGTTGTTGACATACTTGGACCAAGCGTGTTGAAATTCTATGTCTTTTAGATTGTATAAATCATTTTAGGAGCTAGTTTCCTGGAGTCTAAACTATTTTAGAGGGTAAATCAAGTTTGAGAAAATATAAACTTTCAGTGGGAACTATCGATTTGTGGTAGGGTTTGCTTCCTTTGGACCATCCAGGTATAAAATGTTACGGATTCTATGCAGAAACATCAGGTTAGTTATTGAGGAAAACTTCTCAATGCTTTTCACTGTAGATTTTTCTTTACATTTTCCACACACGTGTTTTCTCACCCCGCATCAAAGAAGAATGTATCTGAAGTTTCCATTGCTTTATGGTTTGTTGGTGCATCCTATTATTATTTGTTTATTTTTTTATTAATACATATTTTTTGCCTCTGAACTTCTCTAGCAGGTGTACTAACTTTATGTTTTACATATATTTACATGAGCAGTTGGAGGATATGAACATGGATGAGGCCCTGGAGGAGGTGGCAGTGCATTTGGCTGCACAGGGGGTTATTGGCAAGCGAGTTGACCAGATGGAGTCAGGGTTTATGATGGCTCTTGATTACATGATACAACTTGCTGTGAAGGATGAGGATGAAAAGGTAAGATGTTACTATCATAATCACACTTTAACTGTCACAACTTATTATTTTTATTGGGGATTAATGAAACTTATATTAGTTTTATGTTCAAGTGACTATAATGTTGTGTAATTTAAAAAAAAAAAAACTAAAAAAGAAAGAAAAAATATTTTTGTCATGATTGTGGTTTTTTCCCCTGCCAGCGCAGATATTACTACCATTGGGATGGTGTATTATCTAGTTAATGGTAGTGATATACTAATATCTGGTTATGGTTTTCTTAAACCATGTTTCTTTAAATAGCATTAGTTTTGCTGATTTTAATGTCATATTATGTTAATTCTGACAAGGAAAACCAACACACTGAAGAATTCATTTGTCACGTTTGATTATAGTGGTATGATTAATGATTCATGATTTAATTACATGGGACAAACTTGAAGTAGAATCCTTTGGTCAGAGATTCTCTAACTGAAAAGCTAGGAGCTCAAGATAATTTGGGAAATTTTCTCTATTATCTCTTCAAAATGAAAAATTACAGAGGAAAGATGAAGACGACCCTCAACTTATACGTTGAGCTTAAGGTCCATAATGACCAACACAAAACGTCCAAGTGGCCTAAGTAACAATTAAGAAAACGGAAAAGAAAACAGCGGAAATGATAAGTGAGCCTTTATAAGTAAAGGGCGACTTTACACTAAAACAAAGAAACGAGCTTAAGACTGTAAAATAAAACTCCCATGCACAGCAACATTGATCATGCACCCAAAACATACCAACATTCCAACACTAACAAGAATTGGCACAATTCATCCAGAGTTTATACGGTGAATGTGTAAGCCTGGGAATTAAGATTATCAAAATTAACAATAGGAAAATATGTACTTAATGAAAGGTTGAGATCAGAGTTTCATGTGTATCTGCCTGATAGTGTTATTTTTAGGGGGTTCAGTTTCTTGTGTGCAATATGGCTGCTCCGGCATCCTGATTGAGATTTTTATTGGGCTATTCGGATTTTAATTTTGTATGAAACAAATGGAGATGGGGCATCTCACTTTCCCTGTTTGTTTTAAGTGGAAGAAAGCTTTGAGATAACTTTCTTTCTTTTCTTTTTTTTTTTTNTTTTTTTTTTTTTGGGGGGGGTGCTGGTGCATTATGGCTAGCTAGCATGTTATTAGAAAATAGATTCACAATGAGGATTAAAATCTAATGGTAGAAGTTTCTCATTCTTAACAAATAATTAACTAATGTCAAGAAATTATCATTCCTGGAAACAACTGAGTTTATCCCAAAGTGGGGATGATGGATACGACTTGGGTTTCCTCGTACTCCATTTACTGCACCTATTCTCTCTCTCTCTTTTTTT